TTTTCACCTTCTAATTGTATACTTAATTGTTCCAGCAAGGGATCTAAGCCGATTATAAAAAGTACCATTGATAAAGGACAACCTTGTCTTACTGATCTTTCAATTTTTATACTTGTTGACAAGTTTCCATTTATTTGCAATCTTGATGATGCATTTTTATATAAACATTTTATAACCTTTGTGATTTTGTCAGGTATTGCTATTTTCTGGAGAACTTGAAACAGGTATTCATGTGACATCATATCAAATGCTTTCTTAAAATCAATATTTAATAGACCTGCTTGTTTATATTTTTCTGTATTATAAAAAGATACTAAATTTCTAACTGTTGTTAAGTTATTAATAATATTCCTGTCATCTATACAACAGGATTGACCGTCATTTATTACATTTTGTATGCTGTTTTTAATTCTATTCGCTAAAATTTTTGAAAACAATTTTAGATCACAATTTAGGAGCGTTATTGGCCTGTAATCATCTGTATAATTTGGATTTTTTACTTTAGGTATAAGGATGATTATTCCCTCTGTAAACTCTTTATTTATGTATTCTGGATTACTTAAAAATTCATTAAACATTCTTGCAAGAAGAGGTGTAAAACTTTGTTCATATTTTTTATAAAATTCATATGGAATTCCATCTATACCGGGGGTCCTATTATCATTTGCAGATTTTATTGCTTCTTTTACTTCTTCTTCTGTAATCTTATTTCTTAAATTCTCATTGAAAATAATGTTAATATTTTTATTGTAGTTTTCCAAAATAGCAAGGTTTTCTATGTTTGGTATTGATTCTTTTTTATAGAAATATTGATATGATTTTTCCATTTCTTTCATTATATCTATATTGTTTTGTAATAAAGTGTTTTCCGAGTTATACATCGATTTAATATATTTATTTCTCCATTTTTCTTTTCTTTCGCTATTTGGTATATTGTTAAACGTTCCTCTTCTGCTATTGTTTGTGTTCTTGATCTTATTTTGATACCTTCATTTTTTAAATCATATAATTTTCTAATCGTTGCTTTTATTTCCTTAATTATTTCCCACATACCTCCGGTTTCTTTATGAATTGAGACAGCCTCGTTTAATACTTGCTCAAAATAACTGATTGTGTTATTAAAATCTATGGCATTCTGTATCGAAATACTTTTTGCTATATATTTAATTTTAGGTTTTGCTTTTTTTACCACCATTCTATTATTTTATTAGGCGGATAGTTTTTTTCAATTAATTTCCATTCTTCTATAAATTTATTATCGAATTCCTCTGATTTTAATATTTTGCAGTTCAATTTCCAATAGCTTTTCCCTAATAAGGGTATTGATGAAGATGCTTTTATTTTCAGAATTACAGCATTATGGTCGGAAAAAGCTATCGGTACCGTTTTGCAGTCTATAATTTTGTTACTTATATTTGAATCTACATAGAACCGGTCCAATCTAGATGCAGAATCGCCTCTGAGAAATGTGTATCCTGATTCATTCTTATGTTTTTCTTCCCATGCATCTTTTAGTTTAAGCTGATTCACTAATCTTTTTAAGGCCGCACTATTATTTGCTCGGCCTTTTTGGTCTTTTGCGTTAATAACACAGTTAAAATCTCCTGCTATAATTACATTTGATGTATTATTTCTAAATATACTGCCTATTTCTTCTTCAAATAATTTTTCTCTTTCGGCTTTAAAACCATTCCCAGCATGTGCATATACATTGATGAAATTTATTTCATCTATTTCCTATTATTCTAGAATTTTCATGCAATAGTATATTTTTAAATTTTATACCAGGTCTTATCAAGATTGCTGTTCCTCTTTGATTCTCATTTAAATTTATGATGCTTTCATATGGCTTAAAAAAATTAAAATCGTCTTCATTTATTTCTTGTAACATAATAACGTCTAAATCATATTCTCTTATGAATTTTTTTAATAAGATTTTTGTTGTTAAACTCCTTATACCATTTATATTTATTGTTGCTAAGTTTCTTATTTTGTAATTATCCATGTTTATTAAATAGTATATTTGTTTTATTTTTATTTATATTGTTTATAATTTTGTTATTTGTTTGTTTAAATCCTCTTCGGGTTTTTCACCATATTCTTTATTTGACTTTAAAGATTCGTCTTGTTCAATTATCATTTTTTCATTGGGATTATTTGACAATACATCAGATGACAAACTTGGTGCTTTTATATCAAATCTTCTAATGATTTGATTAATTACTTCATCTGTATTTGGAGTAGAAGTTGTTATTATTTTATTTCTCTTTGGTGTTATTTCAATTTCATTGTTATGATTTTTCTTCTTATCTATTTTTATCGATTTTTTTATTTCATTTGCCGTTGTAACAATACTTCTTTTATTAATAATTATTCTATTTTCTTCTTTTTTATAACTATTGTATTCTTCATTTTTCTCATGATCTTTTTGTTTGATTTTATTTTCGTCTTTTTGGTATACAGTTTCCTCAATTATGTTATCTTCTTTATTATATATTGCAGGATTAATTTTTTCAACATATTTTAGTCTTTCATTTATTCTCGTATTTACTGTGCAATCTTTTTTCATATGATTTATTTCTCCGCATTTAAAACATTTCCTTGGCTGTCCTTTTATAATTATTGTTGTATTTTTTCCATTAATTTTAATGCTATCAGGTATTTCTTTTGTGAGTTCCATAAGGAATGTTCTGTTTCCCGTGTAACAGTTAATTATGTTTTCTCCAGACCACATATCTTCCTGATATTTTAAAACTCTCCCATATTCTGACATAATTTTTGTAATATAATCTTCTGAAATCTCCCACTGAACGTTTAGAAGTTTAATCCATTTCGGAGGTTTTTCGGTTCACTAAATTCTATTTCGTAACTTTGATTGTTTTCATCTTTGTACTTAATATTTGCTTCGTATTTATTTTTAATTTTACTTATGATTTCCGCATTATTAAATTTGACATTTAATATTTTACTTTCCATGGCAATTCCATGAATGCAACTTATGTCTTCGAATATACTTTCAAGGATTTTTCTTAACCACATATGTACTTTTAATGGAGCAATTGCTCCTTCTATTACTTTAAAATTAAAAAGGAGTGTATTAACTTGCTTAATACTCTCCATTTTGTATTATATATTGCACTTTAAACACAAAACACACGCACAGCCAGGCAGGCAAGCCTGGTATTTATTAAATGTTTTTATTATTGCTCTTATTTAATCCGATGTGTTCACAACGAAGGTCTATTTAGAACTGATATCCCTGGGAGCAAATAAATTCTAAAATATCCATACTAAGGACCTCCCTAATATATATATATATATATATATATATATATATATATATATATAATGTATTCATATTCCATAAAACTATGTTTTTCTGCAATAAGTACGATTATCATCCGCGCATGAAAATATTTCAGTTTCTAACTTTTCAATTGCAAAGTTTGAAACTGAAAAACATTTGAAAATGTATCGTAACAGCCAGGTATTTTTCATATATAAATATGAATATTTTTATTTAAAAGTTATGAAATAACTTTAAAGAATATTGTTCGAGTTTTTGACAACAATCTGCACGATATATATGCTTGAATTTTGTTTTTTGTCTCAATATTTCATTTTTATTGCTTCTACGAAAACTGAAGAATACAATTTTAAAAGATATTTTAGTAGAGTTGAGGGTTAACATTAAATTATATAATTTCACTAAAATTCTTTTTGCATTACCAAGTTTAAAATTATATGTTAACGACAACCAATAAAACTTTTGATTTATTGGATAAATAATAAACTTTTTGATTTTGGAAATACTACTTGTATAAATATTACTTTTCATATGTATATTTCACAATAATTAACAACATCAAAGTTTATGGAAATGCGTAGCTGACACAATCACATAATTAACTATTGTTTTGAAATAAATGAGGAATTTTGATTAATTAACAAGCATTGCATAAAGAACATCGGTTGTGTTTGTCAACACTTTTGTTTGCAAATATACGTATAAAATTTATTACTGTTATTGCTAAGAAAAATGTTTATTTATATGAGTACAATATTTAGCTTTGAAACTTTTAACACAATTTTTGTATGTAAATTTCAAGGAAAGTTCATAACCAAAAGATGTTTAATTTGTATATTTTGTCAAAGTATATGTTAAAACACGAAAAAAACTAAATTCATTTAAAAAACATTTCATACATTTCTAATTTTTCTATTATACCATTATAGAAAATTAAATTGTTCACTAAAAATTATATTTGAAAAAACATGGAGCTATAAATGATTAGATTTGTGAGTTATGTATTCGTTTCTGGTTTAAAAAATGATCTTCTTATTCAGAACAAAAATGAAGCAAATGAGATAATTGATATATGAACCATATGAACATATCTTTTTAATTATAATTTTATCATCATGAATGATGAGCAGATAGATCAAATCTTCAAAAATTATTATTGGCTTCTAAACAGAAGTTCAGAATTATTATTTCAATAACAACATAATGTTAATATATAAGACGGCGATCAAATCCGTGAGGATCTACGGAATTCAACTTTGGAGTACTGCAAAAAGAGCAACTTGAACATAATCCAACGTGCACAAATTAAATCCTGAGGCAAATCTTAAATGCTTAAATGTGTTGCACGCTGACATGGATAATTCACCAAGATACACAATAGCAGTAGTTGCTTTTAAATGTAAAAATAAAATTGACGTGCATCTTAATGATTTGCCAGCAGAATATACTTGTAAGGCCAGCCCACCTGGATGAAAAGGATTTTACCACAAGACGTCATCTAGTACAGTTAAATCTAAATACTTCTGTTTTCATATATTTGCTTTTTATTCTCTTCTATTTTGTTATTTTTATTATTAAGTTTTATATATATATATATCGAGTAGATACGCGGGTGGGTATTGTTACTATTTTTTAGTTAATATTGAAAAAGAAAAATTAATATATCTATTAATTACACTGATTTTACTTGCAGATTTAACGTGAAGATCAATTGAATTAATCGAGTGAAGCAACATCGACAGTGAATGGTACAATCAACAGTCAGGATGACGCTTTATTTATATTGCGGATTGCTCTTGGTGATGCAAGGTTGGTAAACCAAAGACATTTACTTATTATATTTTGTGAAGGGTTATTTCAATATGTCAATATCTCTTACTTAGCACATACGTACTTATTAGCACAGTATATTGACTTATTTAAATTTCAAAACCTTAATATACAAGTATAGTGTATTAGTGAAAATAAAAAAATAATAGAAAAATTTTGAAAATTAAAAGAAAAAATTCAGTATTTTCAGAAAAAGCAATTTTTTCGATATTCAAAATTTACAAATTTTCAAAAAAATTCTGAAATGTAATTCAAAATTCTTGAAAAAATCAAACTCTTCTTTTTTGACCTTTTAAGAACTTCAAATTGCGGGAAGTTCCAAAAAGGGTCTGGGCGTGTTTCCATAGAGAATTGGCTCCACCCTGGTATTTAAATGATTTTGATACCATTCTATAGGTATTTTCGAGAAAATTCGAAACACCAAATTTCAAATCCGTAGCCCATCATTTGGCCGAGATATCAGTGAAAACAGTGGCCCCTTTTTTCAAACTCACTTTTTGTCGGAAATATAAGAGATATCAAAAAAATTTTAACATCATTCTATTTATATTGATCTTTTCTATGTTGTTCATAACAAATAATGTGAGAAAATTATTTGTTAGTGCGTGAAAAGGTAAAAATGATTTTTCATTTTCCATTTTCTACCAGTGCGGCTTTTTTGACTACTTTTATATTAGCATCATTCGAAACCCTGTATATTTTTCTTCTATTATTCAAACATTCATTTAAATCTAAGTGGAACTTTGGGAGAAAAGTTGGAAAAACTTAAGCTAGTACGCGTTCAAGAACGCCCATATAAAGTCGCTTTGCAAGAACGCGTCTCGAGAAATCTGTGTATAAGTATGGAAACATTTATTAAAAACCAAAATTTATTTATATTTATTTATATTTTATTGTATTTAAGTATACTCATTAGTCATAATAAAAAATCCAACGCGCTGAATAAAAACTAATATATTTCAATGTATGAAAAACTTAAGATTTCAATATTTTTCATATATTAAAAGTAATTGAAAAATATATCTCTGTGAGCAATTTGTTTACACATAGAATTTCACAAATTTAATTTATGTGGTTTTCTTTTCATGGAGAATAGGTTAAATAGCAATTATTAGTTTTTGAATCGATATTAGTGCAAGGCACGATGCCGTGCACCACTAGAGTTTTTTTCTGTTGTGTCAAAATCATAACTCGTTGTCGTTTCAGAAAATCCTTCGGTCTACCTTTTAAAATGTATTAATTCGGGCACATCGACTTTTCTACCTAGGTGCAATAAATCCAACGCTTCACATGTTTTACATAACAGTCTGCGGCGGGCGTTCGTTATCGGACGCACGCGGTGTTCTCCGTGCGGTTTTCTGATCAGGTCACCGGTTTTATATATCACGCCTCATAAACTTTACTACTGCGTGATTACATACTGCGCCATAGTTCGTGCAATTTTCCTATGTCTCTCGTAGTACGGATTTTATGCGTGTAAGGACAGGAACAAATCACTATCAAAAATGTAACATTACAAATGTAACATACCAAAAGAACAGAGTAACGTAAGAATTTTCATCTCAAATGCAAGGATCAGAAAAATTATACTATTAAAGTTTGTTAAATTTCTACCACATAAGCATACGTATACAGAATGACGTACCGAAGGTATACAATTAACTCAAGGCTTACTAAGAAATTTTATTTAATAGCAATATTAAAGCTAAGCTTTTTTTGCCAGACGTACATACAAAACTGACGTACCAAAGTACATATATAATTGCAACAAAAAGCTCATTGAGAATTGTTACCTTACTGACAGCAATAACTATTTTTAGGCTCTTTGGTAATAATAACGTACGTTTTTTGGTATGGAAAACACGCCATGCCAAACCACACCCTGGTCTGATCCGTACTGTACCAGAATAGGAATAAAACCTAATAGAATCAATCAACAGTTCAATACTATATTGAAATGATTTTTGTAATCTTATATGAATAAAATAAAATTATATAAATTTTGAATGAAAGAGCACATTACAAAATTTTTTACAAATAACCAAGTGACTTTTAGTTTAATATACAATTTTCGAAATTATTTTACATAACGCAATCGGTATAACCACAGCCTATTTCGTTGATATTTTAAAGTGACTACAACATGGTTTCGAGCGATATCACGCGTTAGAGGCGTTTTCCATATTTCAACGTAAAAAGAATGCATTTGCGCTATCATCATAGTTTCAAAGCAGTGGTTCGAGCAAAAAATCCCCTTAAATTATAAAGAAAAAATTGCAAAAAAAATTAGTCAAAGATTGGCTATATATATATATATATATATATATATATATATATATGTATGTATTAGGGTGGTCCTTAATATGGACATTTTTTAATTTCCTTGCTCCCAAGTCTCAAATGGTTCCAAATTGATAAAAAACAATTCTCTGAAAGTTTTAGCTTTTAATATTGTCTTTTAGATAGTGCGGAATACAGCAAAACCTTTGTATGGAAATAGCATAAGAAAAATTTCAAAAATTTTAATAATGTTGTTTAGATGTAATTTAGCGAACAAATGAATGAATAAAACTCATTCATTTGTCGCTAAGTTATACCTTAAACTTTTTTTTTAATTTTCAAAAAAATTTTCATGCTATTTCCATAAGCAGTTTGATTGAATTGCGCACTATCTAAAAGTTAATATTAAGATCTAAAACTTTCAGAGACTTGTTTTTTATCAATTTGGAACCATTTGAGCCTCTGGGAGCAAGAAAATTCGAAAATGTCCATATTAAGGATCACCCTAATATATATATATATATATATATATATATATATATAATATATAGTTAGTATACTTAACTTTGGGCACCTGGAAAAAGTTATGAATTCATCCGTAGAAGGGTTCTCTTCCGGATTGCATCCGTTCTTCATCGATACCGTATTGGCCTACTGACCGAATACCCAAATCTTCCATTTAACACCCTGAATAATTTAGCTCAAAACATATTTAAGGCCGATCTTCGACCACACATGCCTAATAAATTTACAAGGGGATGCGATTAATTATTACATATCAGTTAAATCAAGTATTAGCAAGATGAGAAAAATTCTGGTCGCTACGTTGACTAGGAATTTTCAAAAGATATTGTAAATAAATGTCTTTCACTTTTACTGTACAGCTCTACGTTATCTGAATAATTTAGGTTAAAACATATATTTAAGGCCACTTGCCTAATAAATTTAAAAGGAGATGCGATTAATTATTACACATCAGTTATATTTTAATTATGTAAATGACTTTTTCTCGAACTATTGTTCAAGTTAAATCATCGATGAATTTATTGTTTCTTTTAATTCTAAAGCGCTCTACTTTATGAGACTTATGAGAGTTTATTCGTTGTATTAACAATTTACACCAATTATATTATAGAATGATGTAGGTGCACCCTGGTTCGTGAGTGAAAAATCTCTCACAATGTAAGAGTGTTTCCTAACCTTTTATGGGTCACGACCCATCTTATGAGGTAGGGGTTATCGTATAAGAAATGCAAATATTACATAGATTTTTTATAAATATTCTTTTTTCTACAGGAATATTTGTTTTGGTATAAAATATTGAAAATATCTACCATCACATTCAAATCACCCAAAGCGCATAGGTTAAAGTCGTGTCATTTTTAATTTGCCCCCATGACTTATAAAATTAGGAATAACTATTTATGATCACAGAATAGAAAACCTTCCCAATTCACTAGTTGCTTTGCTACTTCATACACCAGAAGTAAGTAGATTAAAAAAATATGGCCAATTAACTTGATCCAGTAAAATTGCATCAAATAGTAAATGCCCTCTGGGGTAACTACTATCTATAATTATATTTAATTATTGCCATCAAAATAACTCATAGAATTTATTTAATAATATAGAAAAAAATTATCATGATATAAGAGCTCTTGTAGATAATCTTTGATTTCATTATTCATTTTCACTATTCATCATCACAAACTAAAAAATCATCCAAATTTACTCGTTGCTTTGCTACTCCATACACCAGAAGTAAGAAGATTAAAAAAATATGGCCAATTAACTTGATCCAGTAAAATTGCAACAAATGGTAAATACCCACAGGGATAACTACTATCTATAATTATATTTAATTATTGCCATCAAAATAACTCATAGAATTTAACTAATTTTCTGATTGTTATTAACAAAATAAATTAAAAAAAAATGTACCATGATATTGACAAAACTTTCAAATCTCCAGTTTCAAAAGATGTCGATGGTTAATTAAACATATATGAAATAAAAGATTATCTATATAAGAGCTCTTATATAGATAATCTTTGATTTCATTTCATGTCATAATCACGAGAGAGCTATCGCTTACAGTTTGTCGACGGAATTGCATTTTCCATGGTATACAATGCACTTACACACTCTGCAATGCACCTTGTGCAAAATGTACATATTATAACTATACTATGGCTCTTTGATACGAACACACACTGCTCATTCCTAAAATAATGTGATTCTCAGTTTTGCTACCTCCTGCTATTATTTACATTACGAACAAACTATATCACATGATTATTAACTGCGTACGATTCGGGAACGGAGTTGCATTCAAAATATTACTATGTATGCTCATACAGATATTGAATATCTCAAGTTACATATTGAATAGAAATTGTAATGCAAAATTTTGTACTTCTAGAATGGTATGTCAACTCTTAGTATCTTCAATCTTAATATTTGTAAGGGAATGGATGAATAGTTAAATAAAGATACTCGATATAATTTTATCTTATAAAAACGTTACTTAACATTTATACTTTTTTAATGTTTATTTGTTGACTTTGTATATACGTACATTAGTCATATACATTTTATAACTTTACTCTTTTTCTCTTTACACTTCTATTTTATTTGATTGTATATAATTATACAGTGCACAATATATCCTTTTCTTTGTCAATAATGTTATAAAATTGGTTGGTAGAGAGATTTTTTGCCTTACTATCTTCTACCATAGTTCTTGTCCACCCTTTTCCCATTTTTTGCACTCCATAATGGCGGGCTCAGCATCCGCCGTAGTCACTCCACCCAAGCAATAGCCTTACATTTATACTTGTAACATCTAGAGTTACATATATTCTTGAAGTACGTGATAGACGATATTTTATTGACAAAATATTTGAATTAAATTTTATGAATAAATAATTTTTGTACTCGGTTGGCACTAGTCGCACAAACTTCTGTGTGTTTATTTAACCCTTCGTGTAATCATAAATTGAAAGAGTATTATCAATCACTCTAATTATTGAATTTTACAGGGTTAACATCAGTGATTTGTACAGCCAGTAATGGGGGTCCAGTTTATGTTAATGCTGTGAAAGCTGCACCACCGGCACCGGTTGTCCAAGCTACAATTTCTGCAGGCGACCAAAATCGCATTACACAGACAGTTTATGGATTCCTTGATTTTACTACAACCATTGGTAATACAGTTATGGTGTTTTCGCCGCAGAGTGCATCTCCGGCAGGTAATTTTACATCTTATTTTATTTTTTTAAATTTGATATTTTATATATTATCTATTTCATTTATTTCTGTTGAAGGAACTCCAAAGGTCGAACAAACAACAAAAGCTGCGACAGTAACAGTGATTCAAACAAAACCTACTGAATCTCAAAAACCTACAACACAAAAAGCTCCTATAGAAATTATCAAACCCAGCAAACCTATCGTCAAGTCAAGCACTGAAAAGAAAGAATCTAAGAAGACTAATATAGAAATCGTAAAACCTCAACCACAAGCTCAAGCAAAACCACCAAATGTTGAAATCGTGTCCAGCTTTGTAGAGGTTCGGGCTGAAACCAAAACTCCCAAGGTTGTTAGTCGAGTGGAAGTTGTCGAAGGTAATAATTTGAAATAGTTAAAAATTAATAAAAATTATATATTGGCACTGATTGATAAATTCAGGTACTGAAAGCTCGTCAATTGCTTCATCCAAGGTAGAAGTAGTCGTCAACAACGGAGCCACCGTTACTCCACAATTGCCACAAAAAAATATCGTGTACTCCAGTGTCATTGAGGTATTCATTTAAATATTTCAAATTTGTCAAAGTATCTAGTATACAAATTTTACATTTTTTAATCTGACAATTCTTCTTTAGGTACGAAGTTCAGGAGAAGATCATGATGTGCCAGTGGTCCTAAATAACATCGGGGAGCCTGAATATGACTATTTGTCAAGACAACCTGCCCAAATTGTTGATGAGAGTTATAGAATTATTGATTTGAAACGTCCTCCTGGTACTAAATTTATAATTATATAATATTTATGATTCATTAGATCATGTTTTTGATTAGTCGTAGATAATTTTTATATATCAATGTAATACTAGAATAATTTAAAAACTGAAAATATTGCTATAATAAGCTATACTAAAATTAGGTGGCAGTAGCGGTAATGTTCCACAGTCTCAAAATAAACCACAATCGAAACATAGACCAGCAGATTCTGGTAAAAACCGTCCTAATCCAAGTCAACAGGTATGTATATGGTTAGAAATCATAGGCCTTATGATACATATGTATATTAGGTCTATGTTTGTGTGCGAGTGTTTGTCTAAACATGTGTAGATCTCATGTCAGTATAAACCAACAATCTAATATTTCAAACATATTATTTTGATCAGTGGTGTTGTGCTAATATTTTTTTTGCCGGAACGCTAAAATTTAAAATCCGGTTCATAAACCGGTTAAAAAAATTTGATATATTTCGATAAGAACTCACAAATCTAATATATTGACTTTTTATATAATTAACTCTATTATACACAGCTAGTCTATACATTAAATTGTACAATTATGAGGGAATCATTGAGTACATAAATTATATTCTTCAATGACATTAATCATATTTATTCTGGTATTATTTGTATTCATTAATACCTACAGGTATTTATTATGATATAAAAGTACTCAAGATTTATTACAATACTTTATAAGACTTAACCTAATAATATGATAGATAACCTATTACCTATCATACTATAATGTATTATTGTATATCATCGATAGATATCTATTATCTATCATACCGTGAGATACCTATACCGTCATTAACTTATTATATACCTGCATACCTTTTACTTCTCATAAATACTACTGTCTAATTTATATATTCACCTATATTATATAGGTTTACCTTACGCCCTATGTATTATCTCTACCTATCTATTGCCTATACCGGGAATTGAACCCGGGACCTCCGCGTGGAAGTCGCGCACCTTAACCACAACCCTATCGGGTACCCCCACTAATAATATAATATGGGACGCATTGTTGTGGCCGCGGGTCATTTTCTAATTAATTAGGTAATTAATACTAAGGTGGCGCGACGACACGCGAAAAAAAACGGTTGATTGTAGCGTTACGGTGGTGTAGTGGATAAGGTCGTCGCGTGCCACGCGGCGGACCCGGGTTCGAATCTCGGTAGGGTTAATGTAGCGTGTAAAAAAAATATAGGTAATAGGATATATAGTAGATATAGGTTAGGTGTATTCGGTACACAATGTAGGGATTTGAGAGTATATAATGAAATATAGCGTATGGTACAGATGTAAGGCGTGTAGTATAGAATGCAACGTATAGGCACACGTAAGGCTATAAAAATACATGAATAGGAACCTATGATGTAGATGTTAGCGTATAAGAAATGCGAATGAATGTAAGATTTAATTTATAAATATTATTTTTTCTATAAGAAGTTCATACACCTCAATTTGTTACTAAATTAAAAACGACTTTGATAAAACCAGTGGTTTTGTGCTAATATTTTTTTGCCGGAACGCTAAAATTTAAAAACCGGTTCTAAAACCGGTTTTCATGTTTTTCCAGTTCCGTTCGAAAAGGAAAGAAACAAAAAATTATTACAAAACCCATTTTGTGCACATATATGTATGTTTATTACAATAATAATATTTAATAAAAATTAGTTGAATAATAACGTATAAAATTTACTTATTAAATCATTTTTTGTATGTAGCGATGTTTTTATATTTTTTCTTGCCGGAACGCGTTCCGGCTCAAAAATGATTTGCCGGAACGACGTTCCGGCGCGTTCCGGCTCGACAACACCACTGATTTTGATACTAGACATAAAATGCATAAAAAACAAACTACGATTCATAACTTTTGTGTAAATTTTTACATATATGAAATAAACATTTATGTAATTTTTTTCTGTTCATATCAGACATTGATCATTTTGTCAATTTGAAGTTTATCAAACAGCATTTGAATTTTTATGATTGTATATACTGCTAAAAATTACTTGAGTTCGAAGAATATATAATATATAGTTTTCTATTACCAGGCCCAAATACATCCAACTGGACTTGTCACTCGTTTGGGCGGTACTGTAGTAAAAGAAGGTGTCACAACTGTCCACGAAACAAGCGTTATCGGCACATACATAAATGGTAAAGCAATACTACTTCATTCTCTTCACTTTACCGACAAACTACATATCTCAATATAAACTTCCAAGAATTTTTAAAATACTGCCTTATGCAAATAATAATTGTTTCACAGGCAAATACGCACAAGTGCTTCAAAGTACCTCGAGAATTTATCAAGAGGGATCTAAACCTAAGCCAACCCCCTCGAATTCAGGGCAACCGCGTATTTTGAAGACCGCAGCACCACATCTTCAACAGCAAATAAAACAACAGAAGCACCATCAGGTCAACTCAGAGCACTCTGCTACTGGTCCAGATGGAGCTTTACCACTTGAAGCACTTTTCCAAGGCAGTCAAGGTATATAAAGACTCTGAGCAGGCAATTAAAAAAACTCAAATTTTGTGCAAAATGGTAAATTAATACTACGCTATGCTATGCAAGATGATAAATTAACAATGTCGGTAAAATAATTGTCTAAAAGACACAAGAAATTGACAGGTTTTATTTTGGAATTGAGCACACTTTATTCAAAAGGTTTGGAAAAAGTTTTACATAAAATATACATACTATAATCATATTACATAAAATTTACTATAATCAAAAATATTGTGTATGACATCGATTTTAGTAGTGTCTGAACTTTTTTTTACTGAACGACAATCGACAATCTTTCTAAAAAAGACAATCACATTTGCTATTTGTTAAAATTCATGTAAAATTTATTACAATACGTATAAATCAATTATGATTACTAATTTATTGATATTGTGTTTTTTTCTTCAGCCGACCAAACGCGTACACCACGCAAACCTTCAGTGCCAACAGCCGGAGGAGGCAATTATAAAAATCGCCTTCGTCCTGGTAAGAACCAGTCGCCATCTAACACTTTCCAGAAGCAGTCTCAGGACGAAAATAACGACAGACAACCCGATATTGCGCCATCGTCGACTAAAAAAGCTGCGCGCCGAACCTCACAAGGGCGCTATAGGTGAATAATAATACTGGCTCTATCTTTATTCGATAAATTGTACCATTTCAAGTTAGCTAATAGCAAAAGTAGTAGTAAAATATTGTTAGCAGATGCATTTGGTATAAACAAATATTTGTTGTTGCGGCATGCTATATTGAAGAAATATTTCCAGTCTTTACTATTTGCAATAAATCTTTAGTTGTTTAGTTTTTCAATATTTATTCATTTATCGATTAACCATTTTACATTCATTTAAAGACATTTTCACAATTATTCATCGTATTAATGTAGCAATGATTATTATACTAACTTTTATCATCTGACTTTATAGCAATCGTTTTGGTCGTACACAGCAATCCGAATTAGCAACAGTTTCCGTATTTTCTGAACAATCTGTAGCAAGTTCTACAAGGCGACCCAAATCAGGAGCACGTTTCGGTAAATCCAACGGCAATAATCATCAGCAATCTCCCATCAGCGAATCTGCTCCTTCTTCTGCCTCAAGAAGATCTTATAAGCCAAAACCAACGCCAGCTGAGCAATCTTCTAACGTTGCAGACACTACTAGCCTATATAAGTTCAAACTCAATAGGGCCCCCGGCAGATGGCAGTACAAAACAACACCGAAACCTAGGGTTACTATTAGGAAACAAATAGTTGACGAACCTCATCCAGGTAAATAACAGTAAAAAAAATTATATATATATATATATATATATTTATGTGTGTGTGTGTTTGTGTGTATAGTTTATGTATTTAGTGATTCAAATTATTAGAGTGTATGTGTCTAATTTGACAAAATGTTATTTAAACACTTTAAAATTAATCTGTGTTTGTTGATTAAAATAAATTATGGCAATATTAAAATTACGTATTTGACATTTAATTGATTGTGATATTTTTACTTATTGCCAATTTGATTTGACAAATCTCATCTTTTATGCAATAAAATTTTTGAAAGAGAGCATAATCGATTAATAGATTTTTTTAATTATTCGCAATACAAATGAATATAAAAATAATATATTACGATTAAAATTTAATTTTCAGCTACCCCATCTACTTTACCTTCCGACGGATCTGGGAATTCTGGTGCGGCTATATCAGATCCTCAAGTGATCTCCGACGCTGAAGATTTAGAATCATCAAGTTCTCAACATGGATCTAGATTATCAGACGATATCGACGAAACCGCAGATAACGCTATCGATGATCCGTTTCCAGTACAAACTATTAAAATAGCAATTTCTACTCCAGTCGATTTCCAAAATGTTTATTTTGAAATCGCCACAATTAAGTCGCCTTACACATTCCAGGTAATTTATTGCCTATCTATAATAATGCATCATTCATGTAAAATTGGCAAACTTCTTATGGGTTTGTTTCTTCTCAGTCAATTGGCATTAAATTACGCATTAAGTTCAAAAATATTTGAAATGAATTTAATCAAATATATTTCACATTTCATATGTTTATTATTATATCACGTTTTCATGTTGTCTCTTCAGGTTGGAACGTTAAAAAATACACGTTACGTAACAGTCACTTCAACCTTCGAAAAATTCCTGGTGGAACCAACAGCAAATCCTCAAATAGCTCCGACATCAGTTATCCCGGGTGAACCTCTCACCGAAGATATCCTTGCAACAGCTACTGTAGCTCCAGCAGCCAGTCAGCAGCATATTGGGCGTCACTTAGCTGATACTGGAATCGCCACTTTGCCACCTTTGTTATTACCAAGTGATGCTGAAACGCCACCTCTTGAGACCATGACCGAAACGTTTAGTACTGCTGAACGTGTACTCAAAACTCACGTGTTACCCATTGTAAGAAACGCAACTACTTCAAAAATAACGTTGGTACAGACATACGATGTTACCAGGTAAAAATTTACTGGTTGAAATTTTTTTAAATGTTCTTGGTATTATAATATTATTACATTGAAATGATAATTATTTGGGTTTTTTTCAAGGACTATTATATGTTAATTATTGATTATACTAACTTTTACCGATAGATTGGTAACGGCAACAAAAACCTTACCGCCTGCTGAAGCATATCATTTCGTTCCATCGCGAGCATTAACTGAATTCGACAGTGGTTTAGATGAAGCAGGATCAGAATTACATTTGGCGCTTGACTTCAGTGAAGATGGGGATGAAAACGAAAGACGTGATGCTGTTAAGGTAATTTTAATTATGCCAGACCTTTGTTTTTCATTACGTAATTTGTTACACTAATCGTTCAATCAAAGTCTAGCACAAATGTCTATTTTATTTAACATATACAAATATAAAAGTGATATAACTATATATTAAATTAAATACGTTAACGCTTTTATTATTCAAGATATATTTATTTACAAAATAGGTACTGCCCGCAGACTTAGACTTAGCCAACATCGGTTCAGATTTTAACTTATCCGAAGTTGACAAAACAAACAATGGTTCAAACAAAAAGCCTATTGGTCCTCCTAAAACACAACCTTCAACAACCCAAGCACCTCGTCCTGCCGAACCTCAGTTGACACCAGAACAACTTCAACAACTCGCTCTGCTGAGATTCTTGAATCCTGCGGCCGCAGCTACGCCTCAGCTGATAACCTCATCTAAACCAGTAGTGCGTTTAGAAACAGTGTACGAATCCCATGTGATTCCTTTATTCGACGGCGCAAATACCATATTTAGTACCATTTCTCGACCTGTGGCAACTGTTACTAAAACCGATTATGAAGTTGTAACAAGCACAGCTGCCGCGATTATACCACCAGTTTTGCCACCTAATCCACTGTTCCCGCAATTGCCAAATCAGCAATTCCAAATTACTTCTACTCCCATAGTGACTCAAGCGATTGTTACGGCTACCGACAGCAAGGTGTTGAAATTAACATTTGGAGCTAAAACTGCTTATACGACATTATATTCAACACGTGTAGTTCCCACCTTGGTCACCACCTATCTCACAGCATCAGTACCATTTGTTCAACCAACGGCGGCAGCTTTTCCAGGATATTTCCCTGCACCGTATCCAGGTTTTCCATTTGTGGGTTAACAAGATACCATTTTATAAGAATAAGATACCCAATTGGGTGCGCCAAATTTTCCATTAAAATGTCGTTGCATTAGCTATTGAGTATGCTATAACACAGAAATGAATTAGGTGTATAAGATAAATCGTTAGTCTGAATTTATTTATAAAAACGATCTATGTTCAGCAGGCTATTCTTTATTCAAGTGTTTATAGTAATTAACATAGACTTTTGAGTTATAAAAGCTGTTGACATTGGATGAACATATTGACTATATTCTTTCATCGTAGCTTTAAAACTATATTTTAATGAAAAAGGGTTTGTTTAACCTCAAAGATTTTAAGATTTTTAAATGTTAGGACCTGCTATATACATAACATCGAAGTACTGATGTGAGTAAATTTTTTGATCGAGTAATACAAATTATTTTCAAAATTATATTTTATATACGCACATAGTACCATTAAAATTTTATTTCATGTATGCTATTTGTAGGATACCAGATTATAAGGTGAGTAAGTAGTAAAGATATCGAACTGATGGTTAGGATTTTCAATATATTTGCAGGCACGTAAATAGAAGTAAAAAATTTGTTGTTATTTAATTCACTTCATCGGCATCTCACTAGAAACCACAATACACTTGCGTCACAGGTCGCATTCGAATAAATCTTATAATAATTTGTTATATATTTTTAAATTAATAATTTGTATAGTTATTGATTGTTTTATAATAATACATTGCATTATCATCGTCAAATAATTGAAGCATTTTGGCCGGGCAAGCAATAAACTTAAGAAATTTAAACATAGTTCGTTTTGGAACTGCCCATTTTTAAATTGCCTCCAATTACTTCATATCATCAAAATCATTACTAGGAGTTAATTAAAATAATAGTACTCATATGAAATTAAAAGAACAGCAAATATTCAACTCAATCTGATTAATTTCGACAATTTAACATTACAATTCTATACTACTACAGTGTTTGATCAATCATTTCAAATCTTTGTTGTATTGTCATTTTTTATGTAAAAGTGTTCTGTTTATATAAATAGTTATAATTTGGAAATTATTTACTATATTGTACAATTTGTAATAATATCTGTAGATTACTTTTGAAATAAGTACTTATATTCTTTATAAACAAATGTATGACAGTATATATTGTAAATATTAAGTGATGTATTTTTATGTTAGTTTCGAATCTAATTTATAAGTACCAGTATTGTATTTTTTAATAAAAGTATATTTATAAAAATCTCTTTATTTTTATTAGGCATGAATAACAATGAGTATACATGGCAATATGTATTAAACAAGATATAATGCAATCATAGAAGTGGGAAATCGAAAAAATTAAATCAATTGTATAAAATTCGATTAATTTTGGCTATCTCAATTCGATAAGAATACCAGTTCAATGTTATAAGTATTAAATCATAATTAATCTTTGACAAAACTTTGATTAAAAATACTAAATAAAAAATTTATTTTAATGAATTAAATTTTTTTTAATGAATAAAAATTCTAGGAGTGTTTAATAATTTCCGAACGAATCTATTATTATAACAATTGCATCATTGCATATAGAAATTCGTATTTTCATGTTTGTCGTGTTCGTTCGTGCTCGTTCTTTAACTGAGGACGCACTTTAAGAATTTTTTTTTTCAATATTACATTACATATAAAGATATCGAAAGTAATAATATAAGTAATATAAATGATGATCGAAATATCGTTTCAGCCTTATTACAAGGATAGGCTGATCCGGCTACCGTCTGGCAGAGGCATACCGAAACATCACGCCCGCTGTGAGATTGTGTGAAGCATCCACTTGTTACCGCCTGACCATCCTCTTCATAAGCTTTTGTGCACATGTAAGTTATGTTTTCAACTGAAACAAAATTATTAAATCTAAAACTTCTTGATTCTATTCTACAAAGTTACATGATTTTTGTTTTTTAACTTCCTGTAGCAAAGTTATAGTAGTGGTTTTCTGAACATTTTGGCATGCTTCTTCTTGGCTACCTCTTTGGCAAAAAATGGATGTGTGACACGGCTTTTTAATTAGGTAGCAACTATATTAACATATTTATTGGTTAAATACAACTAATTACAATAACCATCTTGTCCATATAGTACGGGCAAAATGACATATAAGATGAGTATATACTGAAATAGTAATTGCTAAGAAGACAGTTCACAAATAATACTACGCATGAACTCAAATGGTACAAATCATATTCGTAACCAACCTTCGCCTGGATCAGAACTTGATAAAAAGGTTCTTATCTCTTTTTTTACCGGTGAATTCTTTGGTCTGTTCTAGAAGTAATTAAGATAGGAGTTTTAAAAGGTTTCAAATTTCTTTTTTCTTGGCCTCGAATGCACTACCCTGTGGTGCTCGCGAGATATTTATTAAAAAGCAAACCAATATAAATAAATAATGAAACTTTCGCCAAATACCTCAATGTTGCTATAAAATTGATCGAAATCAATAATACTGCATAAGTTCTTAGGAATGAATTATTACTAGTAATAGCAATAAGTACGTCTCCAGAATACATTAGAAAACTACCATTGAAATAAACTTTTGAAGACGCACAGAAAAGAACATTTCGAAATCATAAGATCCTATTATTCGGTTCCTAAATTTCGATTGACTTTTAAACAAAGGGTTGAGTACTGTAGCAATATCACTAAAATTAATAATTACCGGCTCCATTGAAACTGTAAATATATTTTGCGCAAACATCTCCACCAACTAAGTTGCATGCGACATGAGCAGGATCATCTCGTTTATGTTCATCCCACAGCCAAGTTAAATTTGGTAAAGAGCCGTCATCTGCAAAAAATGATATTCTAATAAAATATATGCACTGTAACATTGTTTTCCGTTCTGCGGAGATAATCTTCTATAATAGTAACTCTGTAATGACAACAAATCACTATTAGCAATATTGGTAAATTTTAATTACCGAGTTAACATATCCCTCGACTAATTAGTGTTTTTATTTCATATAATAGGCCTACTTTGTATAAAATATTTATTCTAAATATATTTTGCTTTAGATTACCTGTGGCAACCAGTGGTAGCCTGCACGGTATGTTATTTGCCCCATATATGAAGTCCTCACATGATTTATTTTTGAACGCACTTTCGTTCCGGATCTTGGGTCCCAACCAAGTTAAGCGATAACAGTAGGAGTCAGATTGCGATTCAACAAATATTCCAGAATTGTTAATAAAAATTGCTGCAACAGATATTTTGTGAATAATAACTGTCTTCGATAATTAGTCAATAATTTGGAGATTATTTGTTTTCTACGTACCAACACTAAACACAATAGTAATCGTTATCAAAAACGACATGTTGAGTTTGATATACAAAAATTTCATATGTATATATAAAAAATAAAATGTGCAATAGAAAAATTTGTAGATATCATTTTGTCAATATTGAGATAAGATATTACCTTACTAATTTTTATCAAAAAATTTATAATCATTATCTAATGTCCGATAACTTGATTTTGTCATTATAGTGAATCATTTGCGTGAGTTTTGTTGGATTTAGAACTAAGTCTCAGAACCTGGGCGGAATTCGTATGTAGATTCTTTCTTCAACAAACATTGTACCGTTTGTATCTCGAAATTACTGGATCCTCCAATAAAAATATGAAAAACATACATTCATATATCCAAAAATAGATCAATATATAACTTTTTATACGGAATGCCAAAAGACAGTATCGAATACTAAGATGAGCTCCAAATTTTGCCTTATTAGGAAGCCGATAATAGCTTCTTTAAAATCGTAAAAACGTATCAAATTTGGAAAATAGACGCTAATTAGGGAAGTTAAATTTAGTTTTAATTCATTTATTTTACCAAATTATAATTAGTTTACGATTTAGGCACAAGTTTACTGCAACCATTCATGATGGGATAATCTTATCTACAATTTTTTTAAATCAGTTTTTTTACAGTTGCAATGTTTAACTATTCATGAATATGTGTACAATTTTTTTCAAAATTTCTATTTTTTTATATATAGCTGTTCAATCGACAATCCTATTTTTTTTCTTTCTCTATGAAACTTTAAGCGCGTTTTCCTCTAAACTGTATTTTCGCTATGATGCCCACGATTTTCAACTTTTATTGGACTGATTTACTGGAAATTTTATAGAGTCTCCTTTATAGATTTCTGTATGAACTACACTCTTGCCCAAATTCTATTATAACCGAAATTTTAAACAAAAACACATAAAATATTTGTTTATTTCAAATTTAAATAAGATAATTAAAAATGAGTCACCATAGCTGTTGTGTAGTGGGTTGTAGAAATACCGGCAGAAAAACTGACTTAATTCTATTCATTTTCTATAGCTAAGTGCAAAGAAAATCAACGGGAAAAGTGGATCGCTGCGGTTGGAAGGATAAAGTAAGTATCATAACCTTATTGTTATAAAAATACAATTCGGAGTATTATGAATAGTTGTAAATTTGTTATGTTTAGCAAAAAGAAAAATAATAAGTCAATAAATTGTTATATTATCAAAATTTAATGCTTACAGGAAAAAAATGTTTTGCAAACGATTATGTATAGCTATTATCCATATATTAATTACATTTTATTATATAATAATTGTAATTTTATGATTAAAAGAAAAATAAAAGTTATCACATAGCGAAGAAATGGTTATTTTGCAAACAGTTTAGTTAATACAAGGCTGAAATAATGCAAAATATATATTTGTAGTGTTGATGGATCACCGTGGGTTCCCAAGCCCTATAATCGCATTTGCAGTGAATCGGACGAGGTATTGATGAATTCTACCTACTTGTCAACAATATTTCCTTCAATTATATTTATATTTGTTTATATTTATTTACGGATACAGGAATAAATTTAATAATTACAGAAAATAAATTATCCTAATTGAATTAAGTATAGTAAGATACAACTATTAAACAATAATACGCCTAACATTAGTAATATCTAATACAATAACTTGATGAAAAAAAAATGTAATAAAATTCAAATAGTTTAATTGTGGTAGATCTTGAGAGTCTTCTTATGGTAAAAAAAATCCTTGAAATATCCGTTATGCAATTTTTATTTGAGTCTCATATCTAACAAGTCTCGAAAAGTTAATGTAGTTTTTTTTTCCTGCAATTTTATTTGATGGGTCTTGTCTTTATAATAATGTCTAAATCAGGTCTTTATAATATTGTCTAATTCTTTAGTTTGACCAAAAATAATAAAAAATGAGTAAATTAATTTATTATTTACTTATTCTGTTGATAAAATATTTTTATCATTATTATGTTGTTTATATTAAAAACTATTCCGAAATTAAGACATAAACTTTAAGGCACTTCACCTTAAAATGTTTACTGCATTTCTTTATTTAATTTTACTCAATTTAATTAATCATTATACTTAACCATAGATAAGTAAACATACTTAACTATGTTTTAAGTACGTTGAAGTAAATTTAATAATTTCAATAAACATTCAGCGTTCACATTATTACTGTATCTTGTTTATTATTATTTATAACAGTTATTTAATATCTTTTTTCTTCAACAAACATATAAAACCCATGAAAACCACACACTGATAGCCCCAATTAGTTCATATTTATTACGGCGCTGCAGGGGCGCTGCAGTCACGCTCTGAGCTACGTCGGTTATCAACTGTCAGCTACGAAGCGTGCGCTTATTCATATCACTTGTCGTCCTATGGTAGTGTAACATCTATGCTTTTATTGTTTATCTATGGATCATTTCGGATCATCTGTCGCACGTCATTACTGTCAATTGATATCAAAATGGCGTGTATGTTATTGGTTTTATCAAAATATTCTTTTAAATGTTTATAAAAAAAATAATAAACAATGGTAAGATGATAAAATGTGATATCATCAGCGATTTTATTGCTAAGATTATGTCAATGTCAGAAATTAATTACATCTAATATGTATACAAAAGCCAATAGTTCGTATAATTGATCTTTTATTGCAATATTTGTTGTTTACAGGGTGCAAATATTTCTCAGTTGGAGCGGGATATAGGATCTGATCAATTTCCTCCGAATGAGCATTATTTCGGCCTAGTCAATGTGAATATCTCGTTATATTTTATTTCGAATTAGGTTGCAATATTTATTTACCTTCTCTTGCAGTTTGGAAACACATGTTATAGTAATTCGGTATTACAAGCACTCTATTTCTGCAAACCTTTTCGAGACAAAGTGCTCGAATATAAAGCAAAGAATAAAAGAACTAAAGAAACATTATTGACATGTCTTGCTGATCTTTTTTATAGTATAGCAACGCAAAAGAAAAAAGTTGGATCTATAGCACCAAAAAAATTTATTGCCAGATTAAGAAAAGAAAAGGAGGAATTTGATAATTATATGCAACAAGATGCTCATGAATTTCTAAATTTTTTAATAAATCATATTAATGAAATTATATTGGCAGAACGATCACAAAGTACATGCAAATCTAAGAATGGTAGTGGTGATTCACCACAAGCAGAGCCAACATGGGTGCATGAAATTTTCCAAGGAATTCTTACTAGTGAAACTAGATGCCTAAGTTGTGAAACTATAAGTAGCAAAGACGAAAACTTTTTTGATTTGCAAGTAGATGTGGATCAAAATACTTCAATTACGCATTGTTTGAAGTGTTTTAGTAATACTGAAACACTATGCAATGAGAACAAATTTAAATGTGATTTTTGCAGCAGCTATCAAGAGGCACAAAAACGAATGAGAGTTAAAAAATTACCTATGATATTAGCTTTGCATTTAAAGCGTTTTAAATATGTGGAGCAATATAATAGACATATCAAAGTGTCTCATCGCGTTGTATTCCCTCTTGAGTTGAGGCTATTTATAACGGTAAAATTGGGATAAAAATATGATTGCAATTGACTTGATCTCACTTAAAAAAATTATATTTTGTAGTCTGATGATGCAGTTAATCCTGATAGATTATATGACTTAGTAGCTGTTGTTATTCATTGTGGCTCTGGACCCAACAGAGGTCACTATATTAGCATAGTCAAGAGTCATGGATTCTGGCTACTTTTTGATGACGACATGGTTGATGTAAGATATTTATTATGTTTATTCTGCCACTTGCTTATGCCAATATTATATGACAATACTAATTACTTTGTACTTAACATTCATTACTTTTCAGAAAATTGATGCTTCTACAATTGAAGACTTCTATGGTTTAACATCAGATATTCAAAAATCTTCAGAGACAGGGTATATATTATTTTATCAATCACGGGATTGTGTATAGTCCAAAATAAGTTTTAGTACTTTTACTGAATTAAATTTTAAAATTATCTCTTATATCCAATATAAGAGTATAACAAAATGTTTCCAAAGCCAAAATTTCATATATAAGCTGTATAACAGTTGCGAATGCTTTTACAATAATTGTTAATTGATGATATCATAATTCAAATAATTAGTTTTACTAATTATTTTAATTATTGTTATATATAATCATATTTGATTTGAGGAGGCATTTATAAAAAGAAATTAACAGTGGACTATTGTTAATATTAATTTTCTATGTTTTATAACATTGCGTATAGTAGTTATGTACTACTTATTATTTACTCCGCAGACTGTTTATACACAATGTGATTTTTACTACACTTTTGATTTCAAAAATGTAGAGACAAAATTAAAATTTTAAACAAAATCCTATACAAGGTGTTAAAATTCAATTTATAAGTTTATGTACATAATCTATTCCTCGTATGTGCCATTATATTTATTAAACAAGTGCACAATTGTTTATAATTATCAGTGCTACAACTTGTAAATTTGTAAATATTACAATTTAGTGTTAAATGTAATGTTAATAAAATTTGATATATTACAATAAGGGTATTTGAAACTTACTGTTTAATAATTGCTTTGAAGTTTCAAATTCAATTAGTTTCAAAATCAAAACTTTAATTTCTATATAAAGTATTCCAAAATTTTTAAATCATGAATAGTTATTTGTATTTAATACTTATTCATAAATATTCAAGTTTTAATAGGTATTTTCTTACTTTAAATTGACATTTTTTAAACCAAAAGATACAACATTTACTTAGAAATATGAAACCATTGATATTTCCATCTCATAATGGAATGTATAAAACCAATTATTCACATATTTTTCTAGCAGTGAAAATATGCAATTTTTTTGTTTTAGCAGAGCAGAATTTTTACTAGACAAACTGAGAAATGAAATAAAATCTGAAATAATTTTTGCCCATGACAAAACAAGCAAATTTAAAATAAAAACACAAAATACAAATTTTAATTATTTATTTAAAGTTTACAAATTTATGCAATAAATTCGTAAGGAATTGGTGCCAAACGTATTGGCTCATCAGTTCCTTTGACAATATTTGCTGGCCGAGGTTGAGCAGGTTGTCTCTTCAATGTAACATGAACTTTCTTTTCCTTGGCTTCATGTCGAAGACGTTCATTTTCCTTCACACGTTTCAAAAAATCTTCTCTGCATTTTGAATGCTTTACGTGTTCAATACGAATATTTATTCTCTTTGGAATAATTTTACCACGGACACGTTTGTTTACTATTACACCAAGCGCATGAGGGGTTACATTATAAACACGTCCAGTTTTACCATGGTAGGCTTTATAAGGCATACCTTTCTGCACAGCACCATTACCCTGAGTGAAAAAAATAATTGAGTGAGTAATTTATAATCAAAAGTCTTAGTCAAACAATGAACGCATTTGACTACTAGCGAGTATAAACAAATTGGTAATCATGGACCCAAGAAATAGATCTGGTATAATAAAACGCAAGCCTAAAATTTAAAAATCAACTTACCTTTATGTCTACTATGTCTCCCACTTTATACACTTTCATATAAGTAGACAGAGGGATGACTCCTCGGGTGCGGAATCTGCGTGAGAACAGATCCCTTGTACCACGCCGGTAGCCTTTTGAGTTTGTCATTTTTATGCTGCTGCAAAGATTTCATAAAAATAATATAATGTTAATAAAATAAATAACACACAAGAGCGCACACGTGGTACAAATAAGAATTGTCAAAATAAATATATTAAGTACGTTAGAACTTTAATGCATGCAAAACTAAGAAATTAATTAACTAAATAGATGAAATAAAATTACTTTCTTCGTATTAAGTGAACCTTATTGGGAATATATGTAACTCTAACTTAGCACATACCTTCAACGGGCAACTAGGTTAAGAAAAGAAAATGGAAGGCAGTCAACCACAGATCATACAAAAGAGAGTGACAGAGCATCACAAAACCAACATAAAAAAGTGAAACATTTCATTTCAATCAATGTTACCAACCGTCGTACATTACCATGAGGCAGCGGACAAGCTCCCCTCTAGCGGATTTTTAATTGAAACTGGACGACCAACAAATATGGCGGATGACACATTTATCAGTTGAATTTGCTCTCACACTAATATTTGTATTGTTTTGATGTAAAACGTGCATTTTTAGGTTAGACATTTGTTGTAATTCATATATCTTACATTTTCTCTTCGTTTATCTTTTATTATTTTAAAATAACAGATGTAAGAATAATGATATTCAATATTTAAAATTTGTTTACTATTAATAAAATGCATTATAATTACAGGATGGATATTCAATCAAAAAAATATGAAGGAAGTTCAAAATTTGAAGAGGCTTTAGTAAATTAAATCAATATTTGCTTGAATGATCATATTTTCATGCATCAAATATTATTAATAATCCATTTGCGAGTTTGATTCTTATAAACGTCACATTATGAAAGTCAGAAATTAGTTATACTGCTTTAGGTTTTACTTTTCAGATTCAATCTCGGGCAGTTTTCAGAATATGTGAAGAATGTACTTATATTTGAAATATTATTGTTACTCGCCACAATATTAGAACAAACATGTGTTGCTTAAAAGTACGATAAAATTTTGAGCCAAGCCCATAGGAAATTTGATGATTTGCACCTTGTGTTATCAGCTGACAGACTTACAGAATTTCTGCACTTCAATTTCTACCGAGTTTAGCACTGGGAATTCACAAGGTAGGTTCTTTATGACCTTACAAAAATGCTGTTAAATTATTTCTATCACAGTTAAATAGTTTTTAAGGTGAACGCATTTTTTAATATGCAAAAAGTAGCAAATGGTTTTTAGCGAATATCTTTTACAGTTGCTACAAAAAACGACTTTGAAAAAAGGGGTCACTTTCACACATTTTCAATAGTATCTCGGCTAAATGATGAGCTGCGGATTTGAAATTTGGTATATCGGATTTTCTAGGAAATACCTATAAAATGGCATCAAAATTATTTAAATACCAGGGTGAGGCCCATACCCTTTGTTCATTATTTGTCATTTCTTCTAGTTGTACTATTCCATTATCTATAGTATATACTCTATATACTATTTATATATCTATACTTAGACTCTATACTTTTCTCTTCTAAGTTTTTATCTTTTTAATATATTATTATTAGTCATTAAGAAATTAATATTAGTCAGTTTGTGTAAATTCATTATACTTATGAAAGCTTTTACAATATTTATATATATATTGTTGATCATTAAGTAATTAATATTGATTATTACTTTTAAGTTCATCATTTTATTGTAAATACTCCTACACAATCTCTGTGTAGTTATTATATATTGTTGATCCTTAAGTAATTTATACCGATTGTTCCTTTTAAGTTTATCATTTGATTGTAAATGCATGTTATCATTCTATTGCAAATCCAATTGTTGTGCCCTCGTGTTTGGGAATGCAAATAATTTACTTTAGGATACTTCAGCGTTAATAAATAAAAGTCTTCTCACTATTTAGAACAATATATTCACTTAAGTTATAATGTAATAATCTAAATTAAGTGTTATAATATGACTATGTTTAAAGTTCTGGAATTTAGTAGTGGTTCTTGAGACGTCCGAGAAGAAAGTTCCTTATCTATGTGTAAATGCTTCTACACAATATCTATGTAGTTGTTATATATTGTTGATCATTAAGTAAGTCATATTGATTGTTCCTTTTAAGTTTATCATTTTATTGTAAATGCTCCTACACAATATCTGTGTATTTGTTATATATTGTTGATCAATAAATAATTCATATCGATCATTCCTTTTTAGTTTATCTTTCCATTGTGAATACTTACTAATTATAAAATTATAATACTTATGATTATGTATAATAATCAATACATTTATAAAATATTTAATTGTTATATAAAAATGTTTGTGATATATTTGAAAATATATTTTGTACTTTGTATGTTTTTTTCTCATTTCCAATATTTTTTTTTTTTTATTATTTTAATAATTTTTACAACTGTCCTGAAACGGACAACAAGTAAAATATTTGACATGAAACTGAAGGCGTTGGCAAAGTACAAATCATCTGACCATTGCCAGTGATTTGTCGAAGGTCTTATCTATTGTTGATTAATGCAGAAGAAATTTTCTTTTTAATCGGGCCCTGGTAGGGTTGTTCTGAAGTTTTCTCGCGAGCAAGTTCGGGTGATCAGCTAGGCGATTTCTATATTTGTGTGAGTAAGCGATTATTTCATCCTTAACTGTGCTAGTGCCTGTGTCTTTGTGTATTAACCAATTTGGAACATACTTTGGTACTTTCAAAATTTCTTTTAATAACTTGTTTTGAAATCTTTGAATTATTAAAGCGTTTGAGTTGGAAGTTGATCCCCATAGCTGTATGCCGTATGTCCAAATTGGTTTAATGATGGCTTTATAGAGGTAAATATATTCATAAATCATTTAATCGTAAATATCATTTCCAATATAACAAATTATTTAGGTTTTCTTATTGTGAATTTCGTATGCGAACCATATCTAGGGATAATACCAGCGGTTAATATATATACTGTACAAGTGCTGCCTCCTTCAGATCGCTGCAAAAAGGAAAATGGAGGTAATGTCAAATGGCCTAAGATAGCGATCTATTTATGTTTACTTATCTATGGAAGAATGGTATGCTTGCTCGTATGCTCTATGCTTATTTATATTCTATGGGTATGAGCTTCAACTCATTGGCAGAGTAAAGGTGCGTCCACACCTAACGAACGAACACGAACGAACATGTCGAACAAGAAAATACAAAGAAGAACGAACAGGAACACGAACAAACGCGAAAAATTCCAAACGAACTTGAACAAGCGCTTAAAAGCAGTGAGCGCTTGAATTTTCGTTGTTCGTAGATGTTCCGTGAAACGTCAGTTTTATTATTGATATGGATGTAAGCTTTAATCATACGGCATTTTCACTGGTTTTTGTGTGATTTTTGTTCGTGTATATTTTGTAAATATACTGTAAATAAATATTCAATTTATATTTTGAGTCGTTTTTTTTCCTCAGCATTCATATTCGGAGCAAGCTGAACATTCCAGGTTTGAGCTAACTATACTCAATTTTCATACTCTCATCCTCAACATATATGTTGAATGTCTATGTATGATAACAAGTTTAATATTTACTTGTAAAGACTGCAATTTCTTCTTTACTGCAGCTTCTGACAAACGTTTTGCCTACACTTTCCCAAGCATCGTTTTTTTTCTAATAATTTTATAAAATGGGTCTTTAGTCTCCCATATTATAGGAAACTTTTTTATTTCATTTATGAATGATAAAATTACGTCATTTGACCATTCCATAATTCATTCAAAATTTCAAACTGTACACAATAATTAAAAGTAAATATTATTAAAATTTTCAAACTGTACACAGTAATTAAAGTAAATATTATTAAATTATTAACATTATTATTAAATTATAAAAAAATATATTAAATTATTAAAATTATTAAAACAAAATGTTCGTTTGCGTTCGTTGAGACGTCCACACTGCACATACGAGTTCAAACATGAACGAACAATTCCCTTTGATGTACCGACAAGTTGCGGAACATTGCTCGCCATGTTTGTTTATGTTCGTTCGTGATCGTCGTGGCGTCCACACTATGCTGTTGCCGTTCGTTCTGGTACGTTCTTTTATGTTCGTTCGTGTTCGTTCGTTAGGTGTGGACGCACCTTAACAGATTTGACATCTTTCAGTGATCTAAAATGGGTAAAGTAGGTAAAGTTATGATATGTGGTATGAAAGGCGTAGGAAAAACTGCAATTCTTGAGCAACTTATTTATGGCAATGTTTCACCAGAAACCGTAAGTAAATAGCAAATCTATTAATTTCAATATCTAGTAATTGAATATGCTACTGAAATTTTCTTCAATTATTATCGTTATTTTAGATATCTATTGTTTGGGTTTGTATGTTCAAATAATCTATTTAGATAGTTCTAATTTTGTATGAAACCCTTCAATGCAATAATTTTTAGTTATTCTTTATTTGCTGACAATTGCTATTTGATTTGACATTAGCACCTGAATTTAATTTATGATTCTGAAAACATTCAATTAGTAAGATGTATGTAAAAACTTAATAGTAAACACAAAGTTATCATCTTATTGTGAAATGGGAAAAACGAGTTGACAAGGGCAATAGATCTTTTAGTTTCATAATAAAAATAATTAGTTTTATACTTACACCTATCCCCCATTTTACAGGGTCCTCAATTTACATGTATTCAATCTTAGATGGTTTTTTATATTAATTTTTTTTAATAAAATTATTACTTTCGCATTTACACGAAATTATAAACACTAAACTATAATTTGCTTGTATCCACAATAACATTTTTATTGTTTTCCTTTTAAAATACAACACTACAAAATGTATGTCACCATTATCAATTTTTAGTCTATGTCTATGATGCAAATCTATAGATTAAGATGTAATCCTCCTGTTTTATTTATAAATTTGAAAACAAAGAGCATCATTGTTTTTAATCTTTGTTTTTAGATAGTATTTATATATAATAGCGTAAATTTATTTGAGATGAATAAATGAACAGAATCTCTTTCAACAAAATCTTTATTTCATAAAAAAAAATGGTTTGACAATGGCAAAAGATGAAAATAAATAGAGTAAAAAGAATGGTTATATCTGTACAATCCAATTTTAATTTTAATCTATAAAGAAAATGCAATATTTGTTATAGGTTTTTTTATATTTGTTTTATCATTGAAATAAATTAATTCTTTTATAATTTTATTAAATATGTTTGATATTGAATATATTCATATTTATTTTTTGTTTAATGGATTAGTTATTCATAATTTTAAAAGCTAACAAAAAGGGCTTTTTTGGGGATAGGTGTATAGACAATCTTGTTAACACAAAATATTTTTATCGTAGTTCAATTTAATTTTATTCTTTCTGACAGAATTCCAGAGTACTACTTTTTTATCTTAAAAGTTTTCAGAATAATCTTTTTGTTTTTTTTCTTTTGCACATATAACCTAGCAGCAATAGTAATATGTTTCAATTTAATTTTTTAGTAGAAAATATCCATGATGCTCATGCAACATTAAATTTTTTAAATGATCATATTCTCTCATTATCAACTTGGCATTTTATTTTAATTCAATATCACTATGTTCAGACAATTCATTCGACAGTAGAAGATACTTATATTGCCAGTATTGATACAGGACGAGGTCCAAGAGAAACACTTAGAATATTTGACACTGCAGGAATCCAATCCTCAAGTCAAGTACTATACATAATATAAACATACTTGATTTAATATTATTGTAAATTAATTCATGTTTGTTGTATTCAGATACCGAAACATTATCTTTTGTTTCCTGATGCATATGTATTGGTATACGATCCTAGCCACCCTGAAAGCTTTGACATCATTGCAAGTATAAAAAGTGAAATTGACAAAAATAAAGATAAAAAAGAGGTTTGTACAACTTGATAATACACAAGATGATAAAACTAAGCTAATTATTGTTAATAATTGATTGCATTAGCTTCTGAAATTGATCCATTGTATATGTTATATTGGTACAAACTAGTGCATTAAATAATAATGATTCAACAATAGCAATTCTATATTTAAAATAGCTATATTCATGAACTAAATGAAGAAACGTAATTGTAAAATTTTTGTTATTATTAAACATATCAATTATTTTAGATAGAATTATTGATTTAATTATTTTAAAGGTGGTGATAACAGTTTTATCAAATATGCATACCTCATCAATTCAACCAAATGATACAACAAATTCCAATTCACCTAATAAAAGTGAAAAACTGCCAGCCCATGTAGAAACTGTTATAACAAAAGCTAATACTTGGTCTGCAAAAGAAAGAGTAAGACATTGTGTTGTGAATGCCATGCAAAGGAGTACTCTATATGATCCATTTATTAATTTAGCTATAAAACTATATCCTCCAACAAACAAAAGTACATTTCCACTTGGAAAACTATCAAAAGTAAAAATTGATTCTCATAGCTGATTAAATGAAATTATTTGTTCACCTTATAAAAAATTATATTAACCAATTAACTTTTCAACATTTAGGAAAGTAAAAAATGATTTTTTTCATTTTTATTATATTATATAATTTTTTGACTATTTAAAATATGTGTTTATTTTTATGGTGATGAATACTTCAAATTGTTTCAATTTTATACAAAGTTTATATACATTTTTATGTACAGTTTATATCTATTTAAATACATTTTTTTATTTCCATCATTTTACATAATGGTATGTTGTTTCTTTAAGGAGGGAGCCGGCTTTAGAGGCTTTAAAATATCGCATTTTTTGAAGAATTTTTAGGGAAGGAAACAAAACTTTAATTGAAACGAAACTTTCAGGTTTTGTTTTTATATATTTCAACATTCTTCTCATAAAATATTTCATTAAAATATGTCATTATATATGTATATATATATATATATATATATATATATATATACAGGGCCGGTCCTGGAGTCCATAGCGCCCGCATGCAACTTTTTTTTTTAGCGCCCTCCCCCCTATCAATTTTAACTGTTTTAACAGTTTATTATTAAAATTATATAAAAATTACATTTTTTTAAAAAATTATTTTTAATTATTCTGGATTTAGTACCCGCGTATAAAATATATTGATTTTAAATTTATTTAGAAAATCTAGGCCATTTGCGGGTTGATTATAATCAAATATTTTTGAATTTTCAATTATTTTTAACATATTGCATTATTAATATTTGGGTTTTGAAACATTTTACTTATTTATTATGCTATTTATTCTATTGAGCAAAGCATGCCAAGGAAACTAAAAAAAACTAGCTTTTTGGTCAAAATTTTTTTGACCTTCGACCTTTGACCTCTGCCAATTTTCAGTTTTTGATCAAATTTTTTTTTGACCTTTGACCTTTGCCATGTAACCGTTGCTAGTTGGCTGAAAAAAATCTTTGACCTTTGACCTTTGCTAGCTTGAAATTTTCCGTTTGCCAATTTTCAGTTTTCGGCCAAAATTTTGGTATATAAGACGTTACCTACATTATAAAGCTATGCAATAAAAAAATCTTTGAAAGTTTATTTTCATAATCAATTTCTATGTTTATATATATACGAGATTTAGTCTTCAGGGCAATACATCAATTAAAAACTTGTATGAACTTATATCATTTTTATTGTTTCCATACGTATCGACACATATTTTGTGTCATCTTCAGTGAACTATATAATTGTAATACTCCTAATTATTCCATAATAATGATTGTTCAAATTGTTCAAATGCAAAAGACAATTCTTGTCACTTTAAATCGGAACAATTATATAAATTTTTAGAACGATTTTTTTTTATTGTAGAGTCACATTTCTGTTCTACTGTCGCATCGGACAACGGCTTTGCGACATGTACTCTACAATAAAAAATAAAAAACATACAAAAGAATATGTATCCATACAAATATTAAGTAGTTAAATTCATGAACTATAGAAAAGCAACTGTAACAATGTTAATATAATTATAACAAAATAAGGAGAAAAAACAACAAAAGTAACTTACATAAATATGGTCTTACATCAGTAACTTGCGCAAGGCACATAATTTTGGAAATTTGGAAATATTATTGAGTATCAACTGATAATTTTCACAGGGTAAGGAGATATCACTCCTCTTATTAATACTAGTGTCAGATTTTATGAGGTTAATAATTGCAATCCTTCTTGCTGTCTTCAAAAAATTTTTTGACCAAATTTTTTTTGATCAAAAATTTTTTTCCAAAAATTTCTGTGACCAAAAATTTTTTGTCCAAAAATTATTTTGACCAAAAATTTTTTTGACCAAAATTTTTTTGACCAAAAATTTTTTCGACCTAAAATTTTTTTCTGAAAATTTTTTTGACCAAAATTTTTTTCACCAAAATTTTTTTGACCAAAAATTTTTTTGACCAAAAATTATTTTGACCAAAAATTTTTTGACCAAAATTTAATTTTTTTGACCAAAAATTTTTTTGACCAAATTTTTTTTGACGAAAATTTTTTTCCGAAAATTTTTTTGACTAAAATTTTTTCACCAAAATTTTTTTAACCAAAAATTTTTTCCCAAAAAGTTTTTTGACCAAAAATTTTTCTTCAAAAATTTTTTTGACCAAATTTTTTTCGATCAAAAATTTTTTTCCAAAAATTTTTTGGACCAAAAATTATTTTGACCAAAAATTTTTTTGACGAAAATTTTTTCGACGAAAATTTTTTTGACCAAAATTTTTTTTGACCAAAAATTTTTTTCCGAAAATTTTTTTGACTAAAATTTTTTTCACCAAAATTTTTTTGACCAAAAATTTTATTGACCAAAATTTTTTTGACCAAATTTTTTTTTTCCAAATCAAAATTTCAAATTCAAATTTTTCCAGATCAAAAATTTTTTTCCAAAAATTTTTTGGACCAAAAATTATTTTGACCAAAAATTTTTTTGACGAAAATTTTTTCGACGAAAATTTTTTTGACCAAAATTTTTTTTGGCCAAAAATTTTTTTCCGAAAATTTTTTTGACTAAAATTTTTGTCACCACAATTTTTTGACCAAAAATTTTATTGACCAAAATTTTTTGACCAAATTTTTTTTTTCCAAAATTTTTTTGACCAAAATTTTTTTAACCAAAAATTTTTTCCCAAAAAGTTTTTTGACCAAAAATTTTTCTTCAAAAATTTTTTTGACCAAATTTTTTTTGATCAAAAATTTTTTTCTAAAAATTTTTTGGTCCAAAAATTATTTTGACCAAAAATTTTTTTGACGAAAATTTTTTTGACCAAAAATTTTTTTGACCAAAAATTTTTTTGACCAAAAATTTTTTTCCGAAAATATTTGACCTTTGCCATTTGACCTTTGACTTTTTAGGACCAAAATTCTTTTTTCAAAATTTGTTGGACTAAAATTTTTTGGACATAGAAAACACGTGAAATTTACAAAAAGTCGATTTTCTGCTCTCCTGAGCGAAAAATGTACGACTAATGTTGTGGTATTTATTTATTGTTGAATAAAACAAAATTATTTATACGTTAACAACGAAGATAACCTTAATGCTTACCTTACCACGTCTCGAACCTGCTACCTCTTCTCTCCAGCGACTCCCACCTCCCAATGCGCGACGCCACGATGATCACATTAGTGAATCGTTACAAAGTAGGTGATATTTTATATTTTAAACGAAAAAAAATTAACAGGTCATAGACCAAAAAAAAGTAGGGTAGGTATGACCTGTGTTATTGGTACAGTGATGGCTTCTTACCAAAAGGGTACCGAGTTCGAATCATACCTCCACCCATAAAGCGAAAATCAGCAGTACGACTAACGTTCTTGTATTTATTTAATGTCGAATAAAACAAAGTTAATATTTAGATATAACAAACTAACAAGTCATGAGGCCGACAAAAACAGAACACATGTGACCTGTGTTAGCTTAATTGGTAGCACGATGGCTTCATATCCAAAGG